TTGTCGCAAATTTTCAAAGAATTGTTGAATCAACCCAATCCTTTTCGTACAACGTTTATTTAGAACATATTATATTTACGTAAAAAACGTGTGTGATGTATATTGTATAGAATTAGAAAACCCTAGTAAATTATTTTTTAAATAACCGCACTAATAATCGGCTTAGGTATAGGTGCAATAGGTATATATAATTATATGTGTTATAAATTTATAATATAGTCTTATAAATTCTATTCTGTGGCTATTTCTCACATATATATTATATGATAACTCATAAAAAATATCTATAATAAAATTGAGTAACTAGGTTAGGTTTAAAATTTTAAATTACTAAAAAAACTTACATAATTTTTCAACATTGAACATTTTAAGTTAAAGTTTTGATGATTTTGGATATAAAAATAACAATAATGATTTTTAATTATTATGGTATACTAAAAAAAATATTAACTGTTAAAATTTAAAACTTTAGAAATTTCGTACTCTATAATTTTTAATTTAGAATAAAATAATTTTAAATTACATTTATGTTATTAACTAATAAATATTAACAACATTCAATATGGTAAGTTATATTAGTGCATAAATACTGACACTTAATCTTCGCTCTCCTGAATTGTTTTTCGTGACTGAATGATTAGGTATACTTAAAATCAATTACACGGCAGAGCAACAACCATGTTATATATATATATATATATATATATCATAAAAAAACATACACACACACACACACCTATATATATTAATCATCTAATAATTTAACATTAGAGTTTCAGTGTAGATACCTACAGTGTACAGTGTAACACCAAAATAAATCATTTAATAATATATATGTATTGTTCATACAAAATAATAGATAAATAACTGATTATTATATTATATATATATATTAATAGTTATATAAATAAAAGAAGATCTATCTATTTAAACTGATATTATCATTTCAAATGGTTCCCAATTTGTCAAAATAATTTCTTTTAACTAGTTTAAACGGCAAACGCACTTGCTCAAAATATGTTATTGTCTCAGCGGTAACAATAACCTAATTTTTGAGCTAGAATTTTTTTTTTTGCATCATCTCATCATTCAATATTGACCTAAAATAAATAATAAAATGACAATAATAATAATGATAAATAAGAATCCCGTGGAACACCGCTAAACTGGATTAAAACTTGACAGATTTGATAAATTGTAGATTATTACAAAAGTAATCATGCTCGACCGTTGTCTGGTAGAATTTTATAGTATCGCGTGTCATTTTTCGAAAAAAAAAGTTTTTAAATATTGATCCATTTAGTCAGTGCTGTGAATGCTGTAACGACTGAGTCCAGAGCGCGGAGTCGATAGTTTAAAATTTAAATCTTTAAGCAGGCAAATGGACGCGTATAATATGGTTGGTTTATAAATAGAAAAGTAGGTTTTATTTTTGTTCAGGTCGTTATTTAAACTTACACAAACTTACAATTGAAATATAGCTATCTTTTTTTAAAATATTCATCTCTGAGTGTTTAAGGAAATCTAATCGTATCATATAAAGCATATTATACATTTATACATTACACGTAGGTTTGAACTTATCTATACATACCTACAATGTTATATATTTCACCGAAGTCAGAAAAATTACGTCGATAGTCATAACGGTTTTTCAAATGTTCTCGTTGAGTAGTTTTCGATCCTTTGCTTACATAAATACAAAATATAATATAATGCCATCACGTAGAAAATACATATATTTTCCAATTTATTATCACCTGTATAAATCTCGATGGGTGCCACCGCCGTTTTCAAATCTAAATTTACGTTATTCGATTTATTCAGACGACCTTGAATTGTTGCTGTGTACGATCAGAAACCGTCTGCTTTTATTGTGACCTGATAACAGTGTACCTATTTCAAAAATGGTATGTTCAATTACCCCTCCAATGCACTCGACAATCGATCGAGTGCAATGGAATGATAATATAAACCAATGACATTTGAATTGTGCGATGGAAGTATATCGAAATCGTAATCGTACCAGTTTCTTTACTAAACTATCGAATTAGATAATATATTTCCATTACGTTCACTCATATTAATATATTCAGTATATCGATATAGGAATTGCGTACTAAACAATTTGCTAGACACATTTTGTTACAGTTCTAAATTGAAAATTCTCATTTATTATAAAACTTCAACATTTTATAAACATACAATCGTATATGCATTTAATTTAATTCTATTATAAAATTAAAATTACACGTAGGTCATCAGTAAAAAATGTAAAAAAATATTTACTCTGCCAATAATTATTATGGATATTCTAAGATATCTTGTATATATGACGTTAGCGTTATTTAAATAATACACAAATATTGAATGTACACGATCGTGACCAACGATATTAAAATAAACTTACAATAGCCGTCTTAGAACGCGGATGGCTATCGTTTCGAGTTATTAATTTTTTTTTTGCAACCTACCCTGTCCTCTGATGGCAACAGATTTACATTCAATGACGAATTGGGGTCAACAAGATATAATATTTGTGATTGTATACGTATATAGCAGTTTGTGGCATCTATAAATATATTCACTACATTAAAATGTACCGTAAACAATATGAAAAAAATTAGTTTTTATTTTCTCAGAATGAATTAAGCAAAACAAAAAAAAACCAATAATTGCAGTTGCATACCGACAGTCACTATTCCGCTGTGCAATTTTAAGTTTCATTGTTGGTCCTATGACATATTTTACGAGAAATTTGTCATCTTCTCCATATGTGTGAGATTGTTGCTTTGATGTTATGGCAATATTTCAGTATAATAATAATTGCTAACAACTGTGATGATTTTACGCTCAAAAACCGTCAAACTTAAATTTCCTTGGATCTTACTTTATATACCTAATATATGTATGTTGTTCCGAAAATATTACTTATAATCATCGCATATTAATTTCCATCAACCGTTGTGATTTGTAAATAATATGTTTTTGTTTACCCTCGCGTATATATTTTATTCAAAACATTGTAGTTAAGTTCCAAAATAATATCCATATGATTACGATTTGAATCAATGTAGGGTACTATTCCCCGGCGTGTCAAAGGGATAATCGAAAAGCGGTCGCCTTTAAGACTTTTACGAGTGGCAGATGTGTAGATGTAATAGCCGATTGCTATTTATGTCAAAGCATGTCTAACAAGTCGCACATAAGGTTGATGTAAATATTTATAATAGTTAGGGAAGTATCGTAGTAATAATTATAATATAAACATGTATGCGTAAAACAACATAACATAATAATATGTTTGTTCAACTATATTATTATAAGTTTATAACACACGCATCATACAGATTTAACAATTCGTCAGATCATTTGTGTGGAGATTATAATTATTAATCGGTCGTTTGAAACCGTGTACAATAACCTCCGCGCTTGTACAATAATATGTAATATGTATATATAAGAAGTAGTGTTGTGTATTTCGCGATTTCAGCTCAGATAGGTGAACCTAACACAATCTTGTTGTTGGCTTTTGATTTTTTTTTTTTATACTTAAATAATTCAATGTATTATATTATTAAACTCATCACATGCCTTTATATTCGATCGTTAATATTATCATTAATCGATATGCTTAATTCTTTGATTTCCATAATATCACCTCTAGTATTTCAGAACGTAAATAATTTTCAAAAGAGTAAAGAAAAGAAATATATTACATTAGGATTTAAACAAATCTCTAGGGTTATACCTACAAATAAAAAATATTAAAATACCTATACTTATAAAAAAATATATTTCCTTTTTATTATGACTTTAGGAGCATAAATTTATTGTTATTATTATCCGTATTCATTTTTTGAATGAGCGATTTTTTCTTAGTAAGACTAAATCGGCGTATTCAGAGCCGTATTAAGTATTGTATACGACAACCAACAGTAGATTATATTGAATTAATCGGCGGAAGCTAATTGGTCGTTAATCATTATACAAATTTAATTGAATATTATGATGGTATATTTTTTGATTTACCGTCAAAAGTATATTAGGTATAAAAGTGACGTATTTGTTTTTGTGTACGTAAAATAACGATATTATTGAATATCAAGTATTGTTCCCGTTTCCACGATGATCTAAAATTTGATGCGAGTGCTCAGCGAAGTTTTTTTTTCAGTGAATAATATGGTTTGTTTAAAGAGTTTCGGATTTCGATCTAAAAGTATTAGTTTATATACTTTAAAATGATGTATAAAAGTTTTATATATCATATTTCTTTTTCAAAAATTAGGTTTTGATCGAATTTTTTCAATAGTTTCTCTAGCGCGTGGATAACTTTTGACCGCCGAAGAAAACAATAATTGAAAAGATCACAAATTTTTAGAACTCATCGCCGTATCATAATCGTTTTATTCCGGATGCCATGATTTATCTTTTTTATCAGATTTTTAGTATCTGCCATCTGATATCACAAACATAATACTATTCTGCGTCGTCAAGGTCGAACGAATTAAGACGAATTCCCAACACCGTCACTGTATAAATCATCCACAGTTAATTTTATTTTCTCGTCACGGACTCACATCTATTTGTATGAATCGATAGTCCATTACTCCATTAGTAAATACGACGTATGAACGACCTCATGTATTAGATGCGAAGTCGGTGTCACAGTCACGGCAGGAGCTCTGTTTTGCAGTTATGTGTATTATATATATATATATATTTTTTTTTTTATTCGAATTTTTGATTAAATTGCGTAATGTGTCTAATCGATATAAATCAATCGTTGAAACTTCGTGAGTATCAAATATAGTTAGGTTTTAGTGGGAGGGAGTGAAAATTAAACGATATGTTGAAATAATGATAAAAATTACCATATTTAGTTATTATTTTTTCTTTTTTTTTGTTATTATATTATTACCATAACATACATAAAATATATTAAATATAATATATAACATACTCACACGACAATACACAAAACAATAAATAATAAACAAACATGATTTAATATCAATAATAATAATAATAATAATAATAAGGGTAAAACAAATTAATGATTCAGTACTCGAATATAACTTGGGCCTGGTTTCCGATGGTTTATCCTTGCTTCTTCTTTTTGCTGTATCCGTATTTTTTAAAGTGTTTGTGTCCTCCTTTCTTGCCGTAGTCTTCGTGATGTGAATGATGTTCATCGTGGCCCTTCTTACCTTTGTGTCCCTTGTGCTCTTTGTCGTAGTGGCCCTTCTCTTTATGTCCCTTTTTGCCATATTTGTCCGCATGGTGTCCGGACTTGTGGTGTGCGCCCTTTTTATGTTTGCCCTCCTTGTGCTCGTGTTTCTTGTGGTGCGCACCGTGTTTTTTGTGATGTCCACCCTTGTGGAAGTCGTCGTAGAACTTATGCTCCTTGTGGTACTCGTCCTTGTGGAACTTGTTGTGGTACCCTTTCGTCTTATGGCCCTTCTTGTGACCTTTCTTTTCACCAAACTTTGCACCCTTATGACCCTTCTCACCCTTGTGGTGGTGACCGTACTTCTCGGCTTCATCGTGTTTCTTTTTTTTGTGCCCACCTTCCTTCTTATAGTGACCTTCGTGTTCTTCCTTACCGTGCTTGCCTTTGTCACCTTTGTCGAAGTGGTGTTTGGTCTTGTAGCCTTTGTCACCCTTGTGACCTTTCTTCGAATGGTGTTCAGACTTTTTCTTTGACCCACCGCCTTTAGACGATTTAGATGACTTTTTCTTTTTCTTTTTTTTGTGGGTCGCGGCTACTGCCTGATCTTGTACCGGCGCTAAAGCGGACGGCGACGAGAACAACGGGGGTGGTGTCACCGCAGACGACCGATGTTGGGAAGCGGCCACCGCCTTTGGGTCGTCACTTCCCGCCGCTGCCGACGTGGCAGCAACGTCGGTGGCGGTGACCGATATCGACGGGGTGATCATCTCGGCTTCGCCCACCGATTTGGCGGGTATTTCGCGCGAATAACCGGCCCGCGCGAAAACCGCGATACACAGCGCAAAATACACTAATAGCTTGGTGGGCCCCATGACGGCTGTACGCGATCTCCTACGCCGCGCCATCAGTCGGCGGGTTTTCGGCGGAGACAGCGCCTGAAACTACGAAGACTCCAACTATTACGATATTATGGCGTACACGCGCCACATATATGGTTTGTTATAATACGAACTGTCTAAAACGATAACAATATTATTATTGCGTATACGAATGATCGTTATCGAGTCTGCAGACGGCCTGCGGTTGCGCACGCGATCGACGACCGATCACTACTGACAGTCGAATCGTGTGTCCCGTTCATATTTATAACGCTTGCGACACCGGCTCGGATGCTCCGTGCCAGTTACGCTTTCACGCTTGTCGAGTACCGCTGTGTAGCGTACAGCAGGTACACGCGCAGCATCGGGTGACTCGGTGTTGCCGCCACCGCCGGAGCCAATCAGCCATTTCTGCGGCGCAGCCCCGCTCTTCCCGGCCCAGACCACAATGCGAAACATTATATTATGTGTAATAAGAGAGTACCTATTTAATATTATAGCTATTCTGTAGGATAGACTAGGCGACCTACCACGAGTTGCTGTGGAAATTGTATTTTCTTCTTAAAATGAAATAATAATATCGAATTTAATTTGATATATTATTATTATGCCGTCGTTCAAATTGTAAATTGTTTTCGGAAATCTATTCAAGTATAATAAAATACTAAAAGTTTCGCATTGTATGGGCGCATCGATTTTTTGATTTTAGACTACGCCAATTTATATTTTGTATGAAACTCGAATACCATTCACTCGTTGCTATTTCTCAATAACGGCAAAACGTATGAACATAACATTTTGAATAGTGGTTCATCTAATGCTCTAGTATGGTTCACGGGGGAATTTTCTTTTGCAAACGGAAATCTAATATTTTTTCTTATATTTCATCGTCTTTTATAACAAAAAGTAAAGTAGTTATAGGGTTACCACAAAGTTTTGGAAAATTTACTGTTTTGAAATTAAAAAACGACGTTATTTTTATTATTATTTTTCCTTTTATTTATCACGTGTATCATAACTGAGAATTAGAAATTCGTGTTTAATATATAAGCTTTACTAACATATATAAATAAAATGTAATTAAACATGTCCATATACACTTGGTTGTTTGACGGTTTGTTTATTTGTCCGAGAAAAGCTTCGAAATGGAATAACTATTTTATACTGTGTTTTCACAGTTTTTGTACTATACCTGATAAATACGAATTTTATAATTATTTGATATAATTTTACGATTGTATTTTAAATTTGACTTTAACAACCCTAATAAATGCATTAAAAATGTGTGCAGTTTACATTTAACGGACTTTAAGAAGGGGTAAATCTATAAGCATTTAATTTTTCACGGGAAACGCTTTGCAGGATCATATCTATTATTAATACATAAAAGTGCAATCAAGATGGGAAATTGGCTGAGGGTGAATTGCGGACCGACTTGTCATTTACGGCGTTGATAACCGGTGAATTGCGGCCTAGTAATATTTTAGGTATAGGTTAGTTGTGGCCCGACAATATCTTAGCTACACAGGTGAGTTGCGACCCGAGTAATTATTATTACCTAAGTTACATAACTATACATAACTATAAATGAAAGATTCGCTTTGTATATGGAAAGTTATATTTTTATATAATATATGTATCAGTGATTCCCAACCTTTGACCACTTTTGAGAACTTTCAATACGTCACGGACCACCTCAATGAGAATCAATGTTTTTCACATATTTTAAAATTTAGATTATAAATAAATAAAAACAATGAAATTCCTTACAACAGTCTTTAATGTTTATAATTGATAATGTTTTACTAAAGCTTAAGATAATTAACAATTTAACGCAAATTACTACTGTAAAAAAATGTACATTATAATATTATATTTATTTAAGGTTGTATTATTATCATTATATTATAATATTAATAAAATTTAAAATTAAAATTAATATATTAGTGGTATACATTTATACATAAACTAAACTTAAAATTTTTTTATCTTTTGTTAGAGTTGATAAAACAGAACTACAGAACTTACAGAAAATAACTACGACAACACACGCATGTCGGCACAGTGACTTGGTAGCATACTAGCATATTATTATATTATATTATATTAATTATAATATTTGTCACGATATTTATGTTGAGATCTTACAATTATACACCCACCCGGACTTAGCTACTAATCCATTTATTTCAGACATAAAGCAATTGCTTCAAATAATCTTACATCCCACTGCCACGTATATATTACACATATATGTAATATATACATTATTGTATGGCCGCAGTTCGTACGTACCTCTCATAAACCCGAGCGGCAATTTATATGTACCCTTTATAAACTCGAGCCGTAATTCACCAACACCAGGGTAATTCAGCCACGGTCTGTGTAACAAATGACAATCGTATAAACAAAAAATATATTCGATTTTTGTGAGCCAAAACGTAATGTGTTACTCACTCTCTTGTAATCTATAGAGTGTAAGAATAGAAAAACGAATCTATAACACCGCCGGCCACCCTAGTCTCAAGGAATATGTGTCAAAAATTAGGTGCCAATTAGTTCGGTAGTTTCCAAGTCTATGAGTCCCATACAAATGTACATTCGCTTTTACAGTTATTATTTATTATAGATAGAAAATATTAAATAGCGGTACACGCTTTATTGTCGTAAATATTACGTAACTCACATCAGAGTGTATGAATTAGCCGTATGATTTTGGAAGACTTTTTCTATTCACCAAGACTGGATGTATTTACTGACGACGAGCAGTGTCCCTGTGATATAGATTTACTTTGGAAATTAAACCGTTTCGTGGATCACCTCCCTTTTCAACTGCCAATACTAAGTACTGTTAACACGTAATTAATGGTAGCTATAATATGGTTATTGTAATGTTAACACGGTCGTTTGATGGCGATAACACCATACAACACTGACGAGTGTTGCGGTCACTGTAATTCATGGACGTTTATTTATAAAAGTCACCGTCTGAGAGCCATAATATGACATTTTTTTTTTTTTAATAAAGGTTTAACCAACATAATAATATATTAAATTTTATGTTTAAAATAGAGTACACATTATGGTTAATAAATTTATACTGAATGTTGTTTGCTTATACGTTGTTATTAATTCAATTATTACTCGAATGTGGTTCTGAAAAAAAAGGTTGCCATAATATGATAATTAATTTTTTAGTTAAGTATCGTATATAACTTGATTATGACCAGAATAACGTTGAAAATCTCATTGGGTTAAATTTAAGTTATAACTACCATTAGCACGGTTATTTTTTGTAACAACAATTTTATGTCAGATTTCAAATTTTAGTATGACAATATATTTCTTTTCATTGTATAAGGAGAAAAAAAAAACAGGAAAAACGATCTACTATTTAATATAAGTGCATACCTCATTATTCAATATATTACTGTAATATAATACCTATATGTTAATTTTTAATAACAATAATATAATAATAATTTTTCAAAAGTCCATGTATTTTTAAAATTATATTATGTCTAATTATTTGGTGAAAATGTCATGTACCTAATATTATTCGTATTTGAATATTATACTATTAAAACGAAATTGATTCTTTTGATAACTAGTGTTGTATAAATATTTTATTTTATTTATTTTTTGCTTTTGAAAATGTTTGGTAATTTTTAATTTTAACTACCAATCTACAAATTATATTTGATTATTCAATAAAAATAACCTGAGATATTGATGATTTAAAAAATGTCTGGTTTAAAAAGGGCACATATGACACATAGTACTATCAATATTCTGCACAGAATTTTAAATGTAAAATTATGCAAACCCACATAATGTACAAACAGCAAATTACTTTAAATAGATTTAAAAATATGAGTATCTTCGATTGAATATATAATTAAAATTTGAAATCAAAAAATGTAATGGAAAACATAATGTTCATACTGATTGACAGAAAAGAAGAAAAATAATAAATATTCATTATTCTTTGTGATCTGAATTTGACACGAATTACTTTAAAGTCTAGATTGTCAGTTTAGAGAATATTACCTTATCATAAAAAAACTGTTGGTTGTTTTCTATGAAATCAATAATATAATAATGTATGATTAATATTTAATTATTTCGGAAATTTAAAACAAAGAGAAATAATAATATTTTGCAATACCTTCGAATATTGAAAAAAAAAAAATGTTCATAGTTGTAATTGAGATTCACATATCACTAGTTAGAAAAAAAACAATAATACTATTCTAAAATTTTAGAATTTTATTTTAGGAGTTACATTTTTAATGATTATTTTGAGCAAATATTTGAACGAAATTTTATTTTGAAATGTCACTGATAACATTCTAGTGATTAATGTTAAAAATATTCTTATCACAAACCCAGATTTACAACCATCAGCAACTTTAAAAAAATCATTTAGGTGTTTAAATTTTACCAGAAGTTATTTTCTTAAATAATTTCAAGATTGTATTTTTAACAATATTGTTAAAATAAGAAAGTTCCGTAAACTAATAAAAAATAAATAATGAATTTAATAATTCAATAATAATATTGTTAATATATTATGTTATTATTTTTTTATTTTTAAAGCTCAATATTATAAAAATGTTTTGATTTTTACTTTGGTATTTATAAGAACAAACAATATATTTTTAAATTAAATTTAACTCTGCTCTTGTCTATATTTTATTTAAACAAATACGAGATAAAGGTAGGTAATTATGCTACAAGCCATAAGAAATTTATGTAAACAATCTATTAAATATAACTAAACAATCTTTTAATAGAATATTCAGTTAAGTAGAATAGGTTTATTTAAACAAAAATATTATATTAATTTATATTATTCGTAAATTGTTACATTTTATTTTTGTCGATTAAAATGGAAATATTAATTAATTATTATAATTTATTGCAATTTGGTTTGCTTTTTCATGGAGATAATTTACTTTTACAATTTTTAGTTAAAAAAAAAATTTGATTTTGACAATATTTTATTTATTTTAAAGAAAAATTTGATCAGCTCAACGGGTTTGATATACATTAAGGGTATTTTAAATAAACTCGATTAAATTTTTCTTATACCTAGTGTTATGTACATAATATAAAAGGTTAAATATTATTCGATATATAATTATTTTAATATACATTTATTTGTATATAGATCACAAAATTATATTTATAGTGTTTTATTGATTTAATGATAGCAT